TTTTTTTTTTTTTTTTTTTTTTTTTTTTTTTTTTTTGAACTTGCATGTCTGGTTTGGGGAATGTTACTGGAATCAGCAAAAGAAAACAGGATTGGAAATAGTTTAGTATAATAGTGTGTGTTGTGTAGTGCTTCTTTATTTGTTTCAATTTTGGGGTGGGGGTTGCAGAGTTCAAGAGAAGTCCATGAGTTTCATTTAATTTTAGGAAGATGTTGCCAATTCATTTAATGGGTTGGTTTTATTTTGAGGGTAGAATGGTGATTTTCGTATTGCTTGTACAGTTGTACTCCATCTATATATAGTAAGAATTCATGGATTGTTCTTGATTGGTGTTTGTATAAAGTGTGCGATGTTTTGGGGAAGTTTTGAGTTGCTCTCACATTTATTTCTTGTGTGTCATTATTGTTTGGATGCATGAATGAATCAATGGTTAGCATTTTTGTATAATGCTGATTAATAGATTAACTATACTAGTGGTCCTCAAATATTTTTATTGACGTTTTAGTTCCTAATTTTTTAATTGTTTTGCTTGGATACTCAAAAAGTATGTAACATGTTACATTTAGACTCTAACATTAGTAACATTCAAAATTAGTAATGAAATTAAAAGGCTCCACAAAATCATAATGACCAAATTTATATATCTATTCTATTATCAAGTAAGACTAAATTGATTTAATAAAAACATTTTTTCTCTTTATGTCACGTGCATAAGCAAGTTTTGAACATAAGATCTTGAGTTCATTAAGAATATATTTATTCCTTAACAATACACATATTATGATATTAAATCTTTTATTATTAGCTATCTAAATTGCACAAGTATCACGTGTGATACCGCTAATTATAAATAAATGCATATTTTGAGAACTTTTTGTGTAATTAACCCTTTATTAAATCTACAACCATATATTTAAACAACTTTGAGTACAAATAAAACGCTTTTAATGTGTAAGAATCAAATTATTGCCAATGCTATCAAACATGTCTTTTTAGTTAAATTATTTGGTTGTAAAAGCACCGTTGCAAATAATTTCATCACAAAAAGTTCCATTCTAGTAGCAAGGTACTTTTTTATATAGAATATACTAAAGTAATGTATCTGAGTTCTCTCACAAAAAATGGGACATATATAAGGACGCCTCATCTGTCAGTGAGAGATATTATGGTAATCTTGTTAGTACACATAAAACTTTTTCTCATGGAACTTGGACTCATTTAAAGTTCATGACTATGCATGTGATACACCTATGACTATGCATGTGATACCTCTAATTAAATTTGCTTAAATGCTTTGTGTGACCAATCTTGAAATATCATCATTAAATGAGTAGATACCAAAAAGCTATATTATTAGATTATTATACATGACAAATTAAACTTGTTCACTTAAAGTTAAAATTTATATTATTTTATCTGTTTAAATCGTGAAATTGAATTTAATGACCCTTAAGATGTCTATGACATTTTTTTTCCAATAAACAAACCAATGGAAAATTGAGGCGAGGTAGTTACTAAAATTGGCATGAACAAAAAAGATAATATTATAATTAGCATTAAGAAGTGATGGCAAAATAAGAGGATAAAGGAGGAGGTGGAAGGCAGTGAGACCGGAGGTGGGAAGAGGCGAGGTGCAATTTGTCAACTTAGTTACTAAAAATTAGCATGAACAAAAAAGATAATATTATAATTAGCATTAAGAAGTGAGGGCAAAATAAGAGGATAAAGGAGGAGGTGGAAGGCAGTGAGAACCAGGAGGTGGGAAGAGGGGGGAGGGGGGGTTGTGGGCTAAAACTTTTTGCTTAAAAAAGTATAAAAAAAATAAAATAAGCTAAATAAGTTAATAAGATAAAATGTCACATCTAATACATAATTATTTTACTTTTTTTCTCAAAAATAAACTTTTAATTTCAGGTTAAAATAGTCAAAAAATAACTAAATTGCCAAACCGCAGCAGTAGTGATAGAGATAATGTGGGAAAGCAAAATGGCTAGTTTGGACAAAAGGGCTGAGATTGGGTCAGGGGTGGTGGTAGAAGGGGAGGGGTGGGTCAATGGAAGATAAAAGAAAAAGAATGGAAAATAAAAGAAGGTCTATTTTGGCAACATTGTTAAAAGTTGGTTTTTTGATTTTTTGAGTTATATTACATCTTTATTTTTTTGTACGTTTTTTTTATAAAAAAAAATTAAAAAGTCAACTTTTAACTTATTTTTCAAAATAAGCTGAAAATAAATGACAATGAAGGGCAAAATAAGAGGGTGGAGGTGGAGATATGGAAAGGGCAGTGAGACCAGGTATGTGACGTGGGGTGGTCGGTGATTGGACGGTGATAGTAGTGGCAAAGGTAATGGGTAGGGTTGCAAATTAATCGAGCCGAGCTGAGCCGAGCTTTGCTAAGCTCAAACTTGGGTTGTTTACTTATCGAGCTTGTTTATTGAGCTCGAGCTCGAGCTCGACTCGATAAGGAATTAGGCTCGAGCTCAGCTCGTTTCGGCTCGGCTCGTTAGTATTAATGAAACTCAAGCATAGCTTTGATAATTTTTTTAAAATATTATTTATATTATTTAAATAAAAAATATTATTTATATTATTCAATATATAAATAATGTATTTATACATATAAATAATATATTTATTATATAATTTAAATAAAGATAAACGAGCCGAACTTAACGAGCTGAGCTTATGTGAGCTCGAACTTGGCTCGTTTACTAAATGAGCCTAATATTCGAGTTCTAACTCGGCTCGTTTACTAAATGAACTTAGCCAAGCCGAGCTGAACTTGTTTATGAATTGCTCAGTTCATTTGAAACCCTAGTAATGGGGGTAAGCATAACAGTTAGTTTAGATAGAGGGACTGAGATTGGATGAGACGTGTGGTAGTAGAAGGGAAAGAATGGATCAATGGTAGAAAAAAGGGAAAAGAGAAAAGAAAAAGATAAGAATAAAGCTTCGTAGCTCGACAAAAATGAGACTCGAATGGCCCAACCTCTCTATCTTTTTCTTTCTCTTTCTTCTCTATCTCTCCTCCTCTACCTTGGTCTTCTTCTTCTTCTTTATTCTGAACTACGATGGTGGTGGAGGCGCCAAAGGGGTTTGTGACAGTGGGCTCTCTCTCTCTCTCTCTCTCTCTCTCTCTTTAAATTATGAATGCACCCCCTAAGGTTTGCTTAAAATATGCATTGCTCCCTATGATTTGAAAAATTACAAATACTTCCTTGTCAGAATTATTTATTTAACAAAATTAACTACAGAAATAAAATTCATAATTGTTCTTCTATACAATAATAAAATTACTTAAATTATTAATTGAAACATATTTCTAATACCATTAAAAACTATTAATTGATTTAATGATTTATTAATAAAAGGGACGATTTGTTATGAAATTAGAAATCTCAGGAGATGAAATATAATTTCTAGAATCACAGAAGGTAATTTATATTTTAATCAAATCTCAGGAGGTGTATTTGTAATTTACCATATATGTGTGTATATATATATATATATATATGTACACACAGATCTAACTAGCCAAGGTGTGTTAAATATGTTGGCCCATGTTATGTGTATATATATAGATCTGTGTATATCAACATTTTTTTTTTGCCGATCGGTGGTTTTCTCCTCTGTTCCCCTATATTTTTTTCTTCTTCTCTCTTCTTCCATTTTTTCTCTTTCTTTTGCCTCTCTGTTACTAGTTTCAGAGAGGGGGAAAAAAAATTGCCAAATGTTTGGTTTTCATTTTGATTTTAGGTTTGGTTTTGATTTTGGATTTGGATTTTAGGAAGAAAGAAGAGAGGGGGAATGAAAAATGAGAGGGAATCCATTGTTTTCATTTTATCTCATAAAACCAGCACTGTTTTGATTTTGTCTCATAAAACCAGCATTGTCGTCTTCTTCTTTCTAGAGACAGAACAGCAAACAACACAGAAAGAGGGAAAGTATAAAAATAAAAAATAAAAAAAAAATTGTTTTGGCATCTTGAGCCACTCGAGCCATGACATTTTCGAGCTACTTAGCGAAACTGAAAAGATAAAAAGAAAAGAAGGTCTATTTTGACAACATAGTTAAAATTCAATTTTTTATCTTTTTGATTTTTTAGTCACGTTACCCTTTTACTTTTTTGCACATTAAAACAAAAAATTTAAAAAAAATCAAACAATTAACTTTTAACTTACTTTCCAAAATAAGTCAAAAATGAAGGATATTGTCATAAAATTGTTCATAATTTTATAAATAAATAAAAAATTATAATTCTCATCCCTAATATACCTATTATTTTGTAATTAATTAGAAAATTCCAAAATTTAGGAGTGTTTGGGAAGGGGGTTAGGTTAAAATAGATTATTAAAAGATAAAATAAATTTAAAAAGTTAATAAGATAAAATGTCACGTCCAACTCATAATCATTTTATTTTTTCTCTCATAATTATTAAATTAACTATAAAAAAAGAATTAATCAACTTTCTAAATATAATTATTTTAGACAAATTAAAATAATCAATTAAAATAGTTAACTTCCCAAACAATGACTAGTTGCTAAATTAATAATTGATCAATTTATAATTTTTTTAAAGTTTTGTTACCGTGTTTAATAATTTTAAATTTATAATACAACAATTATTCATCCCACTAAAAATATCACCACTTATCACCACTAATAGTACTAATTACATTAAAAAAAGTAAAAGAAACAAAAAAAAAAACACAACTCCAAGATCAAAACATCACATCATTAATAGCGACACCCACTACCACCTAATTAGGGGAGCACTAATTAGTGCTCCAAGCATTTTTCTTTATACAACAATGATTCATCCCACTAAAAACATCACCACTAATAGCACTAATGCATTAAAAAAGAAAAAAAAAATACAACTCTAAGACCAAAATATCACATCATTAATGACGAGACCCACTGCCACCTAATTAGTTGGAGCACTAATTAGAGCTCCCAAGCATTTTTCTTCTTTATAATATCGTTTCCATCTCAAAAGTCAAACACCTTGCCACCACGTCATTCCACTACCGACGACGACCCATAGTCCTATTCGTCTCTCTATCGCTCTCTCTCGCACTCTCCACCAACAAATCTCACTCTAAACAATTCGGATCTATGTACGCATTATCAATATATGAATATAAATTTTGAAGCTTGAATTGAATTGCTTCAATTCTGTATCTGAAACACCAATTGAAGGTACTTATCGGTGTACAGTAATGGCGATTCGTTCATCTCCTGCATTTTTTGCGATCCTCTTCTTGCCCTTGCTCCTCAACGTCGTTGTTCACTGCAGAACCCTCAAAAGAGACGGTACTTCTTACTTCGATCCCATTCAGTTCCAGTTTTTTCTACAAATCTCTGAAATTGTCAAGCACTTCCATTCAATCGTGTTGTGTATTTCTTAGTATTGTGTTTATCTTGTGAGATTGAAGGCCAAAATTGGATCTTTAGAAACAAACTATTTCTAATTCCACACTTCAATAAATTGAATGTAGATTCAGTATGAAGATACAACAAAACCTAAAAAAATAGGATATCTGGGATATGTTTGTAAAATTTTAGTATTGATAAGATGTGAGAAACCATTATTTATAAATTAGGTATAAATTTAAAATCTAGTGATTAATTTACTTTTTTTAGTGGTTATAAAAATTTCATTTCAATATCACGTTTAAATTGGTTATATTGCCATTTCGTTTATGTAAAAATATTGTATGCAAGCTTACTTGTTTAATTGTTGAAATCCAATTTTATTTTCTTATTAATCCTTATATATATTAGTTTGATAAATTTTGAAGAGAGGGTTATTATTTAAGTCTCACTATTTTCTTCTTCTATAAAAATTAAATTTTAAGTATTGGACGCATTTAGAACGCTTCAGATACCTATTCTAGATACCTGATACGGGTACTATACAGATATGACTCCCTCTAGAAGTATCCGTGCCTCATAGGTTGGGTGAGACTATTCCTGTTTTAATCTGACATGTATGTTGGCCCTGACTTGTTCTTAAAATGGTTAATTTTAATATCTTTATTGCAGCTTGTTATGTGGTCGATTAAGTAAGATTTCTTTGTATGATATATACATATGTATATGTATATATATATGCATGTGTATATGTATGTGTGTGCACGCGTGAGCAAGCGTGTCTATAAACCCTGCACCTTTTTTTCATAATGTCTAAATTTATGTTTGGCATTATGATTGCAGTGAAAGCATTGAATGAAATTAAGGCATCTCTGGGATGGAGGGTAGTCTATTCATGGGTTGGAGATGACCCTTGTGGAGATGGTGATTTACCACCATGGTCTGGAGTCACTTGCTCGTTTCAGGGTGACTATAGAGTAGTTACAGAATTGTAAGGGTTACCTTCCTTTACTCTGTTTTGTGATTGCTGTACATTTCTGAACTAATGGAATAAATTTCTTTGTCACTAATTGTTTCGCCATATTATTTGTATATGCTGTTATGTTGTTAATCCATCAAATTAGTTCTAGAATTGCTTCATTCTAGAGCTAGAATGGTGAATGGAAGAACAAGAATAATGGAATTATGAAAAGAAGTGCGAGACAGCTTGGATGATGATATGGCTTCTGCCATAGTTATCAACAAGTTTTAAGGACATCTTTCTTCATTAATTAAATAAAGTTAAGATGGTGATTTAAAATTTAAGTACCACATATCTTTATTGACGTTTTTTTACTTATTTGCAGGGAAGTTTATGCAGTGTCAATCGTTGGGCCTTTTCCTGTTGCAGTGACCAATCTGTTGGATCTTACTAGGCTGTCAGACTCTTTTCTCTCTATCTTCTTATTATAGTGATTCAAATTTTCTTTCTTTATATAGCTTCTTTTTTTTTATTATTATTTATTTTTTAGTTGTCAGTATTGTCACTGACACTGTTAATGTCCACATTTCATTTTTGTGAATTGCTAGCTTTTATAGATAGCAAATTTAGATTTTCATGTTTTCTTTGGCTATGAAATCCTCATACTTTATGCATTGAAGTAGGGGCATAGGCCTCATCGTCAGATGTGTTTCTTTTTGGGTGGCAAGGAGGGAAGTGTAGGGGCATAGTATGGTCGCCATTGCCTCTCGCATTGTTTCAAATTTACGTGACT